CATTCAACCCTTAGTATACTGCATATAGAGCCCAATCACACAAGTTTTTTCTATAGAGTAGGCATTGTGGAAAACTGAAAGATATGTAAACTGGAGTTATTGAACTCAAAGAAGGCCTAACAGCAAATATAATCAGATGCTGAATTTTATCACCCAGATCTATGCTTGTCCAGTTATAGTAGCTACTAGTCACATGTGATTATTTGCATTAATCTTAAATAAAATTAAACATTTAGTTCTTCATTTGCCCTAGCCATGTTTCAAGTGTTCGGTTGTCCCGTGTGACTAGCAGCTACCATATTGTAGAGCACAGATATAAAACATTTCCATTATCACAGAAAATTATATCAGACAGCCCTAGTAAGTGCTACAAAGGGTCGGAACAAACAGCACTGAGCACTGAGGACTGTGATGAGTAATGGTCGAAAGGCTTCCTGTTGGAGGTGGTGATGGCGCTGTGTAGACTTGCTGCTGAGTAAGGACAAGGAAAACAGGTAGCGCTTCAGGGAAAGCAGATATATGAGTCAAGGGATAAGGCCAAATAGGGTTAGAATAGAAGAAATACTTGAGGGAAGATTGTTGGGTCTTCCAAATAATTTCTGAAGTGGTTTGCATATAATTGTCTTTCTCTGAGGCTGTATTTAGGCTTATGCCTTAGCTAAATGATGAGCTTATTACTTCATTGTTTTTGTTGTGGTTGCTTCTGTTTGTTGAGTGTTCACTCTGTGCCTACAAAAAAAAACAAAAAACAAAAAAAACACCTCTCTTCGCTTGATCCCAAACCTGGCATGCTGTGCTGTCTCCTGAAATAGAACAGGGGCACCTGTGGGACACTGATCCTGGAATCCCAACTGCCAAATGGGAGAATGGAGGAACTGGGGGTCACTGGGGCTACAATGGAGCTGTGCATAGTCTGAGGGTAGCACAGGGCCAGCAGAGACCATGACTTCTTGGCTGACTCCAAGAGTCTCAGAATGTCATTCCTGGGGACCAGAGGGCCATCCCTACTGATGATGAAATGGACGACCCTTGCGACTGTATTAATGCTGAACCGGGGTCAAGAGTCTCAATTATCACCTTCATTTATCATTGTCAGTTATTTTTTATTTATTTATTTTTTTAGCTGAGCCATCCTGCCACCTGTTGCCAGCTCAGCGGCAGCTCAGCTCGGGCTGGTCATTGAACCGGCGACCCTGTTGCTCAGAGCTCGCACTCTTGAGTGCGCTCTTAACCAACTGAGCCACTCTGCCGGCCCTTTGCACATTCTTTAACAAGTAAATTCTCATTTTGCTCCTCCTTTTCAATCAACCAACTGAGGGGATTGGACCCTAGGAATACAAGTGTCCCTTCCTGTCCTGACATGCAGGGGACTTTTGATTTCTGAAGCTGACCTGTCTATTCCTTCTTTAGATCGTCCAAGGCTTCTCCCTGGATCCCTGGATGGGATTTGTACATACAGGTTTCTAGAAATGGACAAGTTTTCCCCTAAACTTTTAAGAGTTTTAAACCCTTTTAAGAAAGACGCAGAGGTAACATTTCTTGAAGGAAACTGTTTGAGTGTTTGCAGAAGCTGTGGCAGCATATTTCCCTGAGGCAATTCAAAGTTCCTGGTACATTCTCTCCAAACTTCATAATTCAACAGAAAAACGCCT